CCCAGTGAACTGCAACCCCCCCCCCGGCTGGGCAGCACCTGCCTCTGCTGCTATCCTCTCCCTCACTGCGAGTGGCATTGATCTGCCCCCTCCATGCCTCTTCCCTCCCCGCTTCCCTTCTGACTTAACAGCTGGAGGCAGCTCTCCATGACACAGCATGGGCATTGATCAGCCAAGTTATCGGCCCCATAGGGCTGATATCTGATATAGACAGCTTTCTTCATATCAGTACTGATCCGATATCGGACCGATGTATTGGTGTACCTCTACTCATTATCCAAATCATTAATGAAGATATTAAACAATACCAAACCTAGGAGAGACCCCTGGGAAGCCTCACTTGTTACCTCCTTCCAACTAGACATTTAGCCATTGAGGACTGCACACTGAGCACAATGATCCAACCAGTTATGTATCCACCTTACAGTACTTTCATCTAGTCTTAGGATGAACATATGTCCTGGACAGTCTCAGCATCACAGCCACTGGAGAAAATTGAAGCAAAAGTCCGAGATTGGTGGGAACTCTAGCAAAATGTGAGATGGGCACGTGTCTCATGAAGTCCAACTGCTGGCAGTTCAGTGCCTAAGTCCCTCTTTGGGTGAAGCCCTAAGAGTGATATTCTGTTTTTTTCTGGGTGTCAAAGTGGCCATTTTTTGGTTTTTTGCCGGGCATTTTTTCATGTACATATCCAGAGAAATTCTATTCCTGGTTGTTTAGCCTGGTGCATGTGGATGATTACATGTGATAGTATCAGTGATTCTCAACCAAGATCCTTTAAAAAGTGCTGTGCGGTGCCATGCAATAGTAGCAGAGTTAGATGTGTAAACACCTGTACATGATTTGAAGATAAACTCAGGTATTTCAAATAGGAATCCCTGTGCCCTTGTACACATGGCGAAAATTGGCGATTGGGGATTCATTTGCAGTTTAATTGTGTTATGCTGTGTGAGAGAATGCCACCTGTGTTTCTCCCCAAAAACTCTGCTATATGACAATTTGGTTAACACAGTCACTGCAAAGGGCAGACTCCTCTGCCCCATCTCTTTAGGTAACCCTGAGTTGTAACCTGAGCTGGATACATTCCTGGGGGAGGGGAGAAAACCTGCTCCCTTGTTGGCTACAAATGTCCAACTCAGGATCCTTGAAATTCTGGTTTATTAGGTGGATTGAAACACTGTAACGAAGTCAAATCATAAACCCTGGGGCTGGTCCCCTCACACACATACACATGCACACACACAGTAGCGAGCTACGCATGTTGGGGGGGGGGGGCACCAGAGCCACGTATACCTGTCCCACAAGCACTGGGGTCTGCCATCAATGGCCAGTCGAAGCTTCTTCCAGCGTGGTGTTATCCTCCAGAAGGGGGTCGCCAGCTGGTCCTTCTGGCTGGATAGGTTGGGTGTTGGTCAAGTTGGAGATCAAGAAGGTGCCGCCAAGGGTCACTTTTCACTGCTTTTTATCTGTCCTTGGCACACTTTGGCGACTCCCCAGTTTTCAGGTTTGCCCAATCCAGGGGTCGTTGACCCTCGTGGGACTTCCCCCTTGGTGGCTACTGGATGGCACCTGTCAGCCTCAGGGGTCGTCCGCATGTACATGCAGGTTTGGGAGTCTGTTGATGAATTTTGATTAATTTACTGCTGTCATGAATAGAGCTCTGGCAGCGGTTGACCTGGAGATATTCAGCCCCCAAAGTTGGTGCCCCACGTTGATTAACCTAGACTGGGGCTTCAAGTAAAGTTTAGAGAATTCCCGGTTGCTACATTGTCTCCTATTGATTTCTTCCTTTGGTTGATCTGCGGTTTTTTATTATAGTAATTGCGGCTTGTTACTGAAGCCCGCTACTGTCACACATGCAATCACTGATTCACTCGCTCTTTCAGCGGCCTGCCTGATATGGGGAAGTGGCGGTTTGATTCCCGTCCTTGTTAACATTGTTACAGTGTATGACTTACTTCTAAAACTAAAACACATTTAGTTAAAAGGAGAAGAGTGTAAAATATAAGCTACAAGAGTAATGCCATGGCACACAAATAGAAAAAAATGCCAAAATACAAGGGGAGATACAAAATACATGCATACAAACTTTAAAACATAATCCCTTATCTTATAGTAAAAGAAAGAGGAAGGAAGAAATGGTATAAGAAGAGAAACATATCCAAAGAGGGGAAAGCAAATGCAGGCAAGAGGAAAAAGGGGGCTTTCTGCTACACCCTGACTGGTATCACATACCTGGGTGGGGGCTTAAGCTCCCTATTGTTCTAAGCAATGCCAACATGACTGGGAGGGGGCTAGAGACCCTGCCAGTCTGCCCAACAACCAGTGATGCATTTCATATTGGTTGGCTGGCAGCCAACAGGTGCTGGCCTCCATTGGACCAGGTAAATGAGGTCATAAGGTCTATATAAGTTAAGAACTGCCCAGGAGGGGGGGCAGTAACCATGATGAAAATGCAGAGAGAGAAGCTGGACCATCTGAAACTTGCTCTCTCTCTTGAAATTCATGATCAATGAACTGCCTGCCTCCAGAGGTAATCTCCACCTGCCTCTGGATGATGCTTGTGAGTAAACTACCTGAGATCTAACTAGATATATAGCTTTCAGTAACTTCAGATGCATGATCAAAGGCTATCCAGCCACCTTGTTCGCTCTGTGGGCTTTCTCTGATATTGCTCTACCCTGTACCCTATTCCAAACCTACTTCTTGTAACCAATAAAGTTCTTCTTTGTACCTAGCATGGGAGACTTA